GGGGGGGGGGGGGGGGGGGGGGGGGGCCGCAGCCCGGGTGGGGGGAAGCTGTGGGTGGACAAAGGCAGGGGCAGTGAGGGCGTCGGGGGCCGGTGGGTGAGCTGCACGGACGAGGAGGAGGCAGATGAGGAGGAAGAGGACGAAGAGGATGATGAGGGGGGAGGCTGAGCCACGGGAGGGGCCGGGGCCTTGGGGGGCGGCCGTGAAGAGCTGGGGAGAGAAGTGGGGAGATGAGTGAGGGGTTGGGAGGTGCCAGCTCTGACGGAAGCGGGTCAGAAGCCTGGGCGATACCTTGACCCTGGTTCTCCAACATGGAAGGTGGTAGAACCTGGCCCCCAGGACCTCCACCCGCCGACCCGGAGAACCCATCCTTAGACTGAGGTACCTCCCACACCCAACAGCCCCCTCTCTCCCTCTCTAGGTCTCTTTTTCCACACAGCTGCCTCTGACGCCTCTGGCCACGTGACTTTCCCTTTTCTGACTCGACCACAGCACAAAACATATCGTTCGCTTTGACGCTTAATTACGACAGGCCACCTGGGTTCCCACCCTAAGACAGTGGAAGCAGCACTGCCCTGGCCTGGCCTAGGAGTCAGGAGACCTGAATTCTAGGCCCATCTTGCCATTAAAAGCCTGGGTGACCTTGAGCAAGTCACTGCCCCTCTCTGAGCCTTAGTTTTCCCAATAATAAGAGAATGATAATGATGATAACAATAATAACAAAAACAGCATTGATGATAATAATAGTGTCAGTGATTCTTACCCTTTAGCGAGCACTTACTATAGGCCAAGTGCTGTCACCTGCTTTATATGCTAATCCAAGTCTCCAACATTCCACATCACCTTCCCAATTGCTGCCGCATCCATGGAACCCCCTGTACAGTTTACTTCTTTAACTTAACTCAGTTTGTTTTTACTTAGCCTCACCAAGCAGTAACAAGTGAAATAAAGGGATTGAGGAACTACTCATATTTTTTTAAAGCACATCAGAGCTGAAAAAATTTTACTCGCATAACATCTAAAATGCACTCACATACCACTAACAAAGAGCGTACACACTTTGGGAAACACTGCATTAACTCATAATTAATCCTCACAACAGCTTTACGATGAAGGTACTATTATTTCACTTTACAGAAAGAAGAAATCAAGGCTCAGAGAGGTTAAGTGACTTGTCGAAAATCACACAGCCATTAAGTGGCAGAGCAAGAATTTGAATCCAGGTCTGACTGACACCAAAGCCAGCACTCTTAATCATCATGTCAGCATTTCCCAAAGTATGTTCCAAAGAACACTATTCCTAGCAGATGTGCCTTGCGAAAATGTCTCACCAGCAAATAAGATTGGGAAACGGCACAAACTGGATTCCCCTCTATGTGAATGTATAAAGGGTTCTGATAAGTCCTGTAGTAATCTCTTCAGATTTGTTCCACCCAGTGTCTCTCAAACTTTTTAGCCTCCGAATCCCTTTTCAAGTCATATCCCACAGGTACCATCCCATGTCCCAGCCACAGAATGCAGGGGCTGACACCAAAATGACCAGGCCTTTCCAGACCAGGCCAAACCCCTGGACCACTCACCTGCCAGTGCTGAGGTCCAGGCTGCTGCCATAGGGGGAAGTGCGGAGGCCGAAAGGCGAGACCCGAAGCTGCAGCTGGGGCTGGGGTGGGGGTGGCAGACTGGGGGCGGCCGGCAAGGGTGCAGGGGGTGAGATAGGAGGCCGAGGGGCCGGTGGAGGCGGTGGTTCCTTCGGGGGGAAAGGCACTAGCAGCGGGTCGGGCCCTGGGGGCTGTTCCTGGCTCCGCTCCAGGCCCGACACTTTAGGGACTACGGAGAGTTTTGCTTCACAGTTCCCATTGAAGGCGCCGTGGGGGCCCGAGGCTGTGAAGGCAGGACGGCAGATATATTCAGTTGAGGTCCATGCTCACCCAATTTCCCTCCCTTGTCTCCAACCCCAGCCCTTGGGACCAACCTTTGCTGGTTGAGACAGTAAAGGACGGGTCAAGGTCATCATCGGAGACCTGGGGAAGAAGGACAGGGACAGGGTCAGGTTCTGCCAGGTCGGGCCCTCACTCAGGAAGGCCAACAGCCTCTGGAGTCTGCTAGAAACTGGTAGTGGTGACAAGTCTATTCCATCAACTTAGCTGAAATCCACCAAAGACTGTGAGCTCTAGAGGGTCCTATGCTTGGGGAAAAGGGTAGAGCAACTGAGCCTGAGAATCTGATAGGCTGGGAGGACTGAACTGAGGCAGCATGGAAGTAGCAAAAATACAAGCAAATCAAAAATGTCAGATATCACTAACTGCTAGCTCAGATGCCTACCTGGCTTACAGATTTGTTTGGTCCATAAATGTTAGCAAAATTCTTAAACTAATTGCTGATATTTAGAAATCTGGAGATTCCTCATAAAAACTCAGACTTGCAGGTTCTCTTGAGAATGGGCTGCTACTCTCCCAATAGTGGCTGCCCCGTTTGGATAGACAAGTACTATTTGTTTCACCACAGTTCCTGTCCAGCCAACTTTTTAAACTACAGCAAGACACACATCAGAGAGTACAAATTTAGTTAGTTACAGGAGTACAGCACCAACAGTTAGAACACACTGTTTCAAAATTAGCACATCAGCCCTAAGGATAAAATGAAATGTACCTTTACAGGATATATTCTTAAACTGACTACAATGGTTTAGTGTCCTCACTGCCATGACCATGGTCTCAGCTCAGACTCTAATCTACAGGAACAGACTAATGGCCAGCAGGAAGGACCAAATGGATTCCACAGCCACTCCAGGTTTCCGTGGAGAACCACTGGTATCTCCAAGGGCTTTGGAAAGGATGGCAGAGCAAGGCATGGGCCTTTGATTCTTTGGTCAACTGGCTCTAGTTACCAAATATAATTTGTCACTTACTTTCTCAATCCCCCGCCCCATACTTCCTCCCCAAAAATCTAATTCTGGCTCAACCTAACACACGTTCCCCACTTAAGGGGAGACTCTGTCTGCTGCACAAGGAAACTTTTAAGCTGCAGTTCATTTTATGAGCTGTAATACTGCCCACCCAACAAGTTCTAGCCCCACTCACCCTCTCGTCCAGATCGCTTTCCGCGTCACACTGGGGAGAAGGAAAGACAGAGGTTGTCATAAGAGGGAAGAGGAGTGGGGACAAAGGTCGAGAGGGGAATTTCAGACAGGGAGCAAAAGGGGAGGGGCTGGTACAGGTGGAGAGCACTTACTATGTATCCAGCTTCCACAGAATGACGGGAGGAGGCCTGAGAAAGACCAGAGTCCAGAGGTAAGGGAGGCTGACTGGCGAGGCCTTTGGATAAAGTCTAAACTGCCCGGCAAGGCACTCAAGGCCCCTCATGACCTAGTCTCAATCTCTTTCTACTGCCCACCCCCTGTTCTCAATGCTCTGACAATTTTTGAAATATACCAGATTCTCACATCTCTGTGTTTTCACCCAAAACAACTTAGCTCTGTTTCTCTTCTTAGCAAACTTATGACTATCCTTCAAGGCCTGACTAAGACATCCCAGGGGGCTTTCCCTAACCACAACCCTCCTCCCATCCCCCAGACAGAATGAGTGGCTTCCTCATGTGGGCTTCTGCAGCATCTCTCCCAGATCTCTGCCTTCTGTTGCTTCTCAGGTTTTCGTCTAGGTATTTGCTCAAAGACTGCTTCTTTCCTGCTATACTGACACCGACTTGAAAAGGTGTGCAGAGACCACATCTAACTTATAATTCAATTAAGTCCCTTTGCTATATCTCTGAATTATCAATATGTTTTGAGGCAGACGTAGTGTCAGCCAAAAGCAGACAAGTCTGACTACGGACATGTCTTTGTCAGACCTGGATGGGGCAGTGGAAGCTCAAATTTGCTCTGCCTTTCTCTTTGCCCTTAGAGACTGGGGTCACTGTTTACCATGGGTAGCAGCACTGCTGACGAAAAATGGATCTATGTGAAGAACATTCTGCAGAGAGTTTTAAAGGACAGGGATTTGGGACAAGCTCACCTCTTTCCTTCTCCGCTTATTGGGCCATTTTCGGGCCCGATCCCCAGAGGGCCGGCCAGGCTCTCGATCAGAGCTGTCCCCTGGTTCCCCAGTTGCCCCACTGGAGCCCCCCCTCTTCCGCTTCCCAGAATGCTTCAGCCGATGCTCCAGTCGCTCTGGGGGCTGAAGAGACGCATCCTTCTGTGGAGAAGAAGGTGGAACTACAGTAGGTGGAGAAAGGAAAGCTCCGACCTCTCTAGGGGTGACCAGGCTAC